CGACGGCGACGGCGACGACGACGGCGGACGACCGATGACCGAAGACCGGCGACCGACGACCGACGACCGACGGACGACCGATGACCGAAGACCGGCGACCGACGACCGACGACCGACGACCGACGACGACGGCGACACCGACCACAGACGAACGACAAAGGCAGACGACTGACGACCGACGACCGACGCTTTCGCCGACGCACGACGACGACGGCGAGGAGGACGGACGGACGTCGAAGAAGATGCACGGCGACGAGCCCCCCCTCCTTTCTCCCTCCTCCTCTTCGCCCTCGTTTTTTCAGTTTCTGGGCCCCTCGGCCGTCCCCTCTCGTCGCCAAGGGTGGGGGCTGCCGTCGGAAAACTGGCCAGGGTGGGCACCGGGCAGAGGCCGGCGATCCCTTCGGGAAAGGCTGGCGGCCGGTCCTGTTCGGACCCTGTCCAGGGGTTCTCGGCGCAAGGGGCTCAGCCTCCTGAGGCCTCCTGATAAAGCAAGGAGTGGGAGGAGGGAGGGAAGCTAGGTGCGCTCGCGCCTTATCTCACAGCCTACCCCTCCCTCCCTCCCATCCTTTCCCATTGCACTGCAATGGGAAGGGATGGGATGTCATGGCCGACCTGCAACTAAAGGCTGCATCGTGCGCAGTGCAGTAGAGACTCGGTGACCTGGGTGCACCCGAAGTCGTGGTGCGATCGCCTCCCTGCTGCAACAGCGGCTGATGTAGCAAGACAGCCATCCAGACAAGGTTGGGTAGATTATGTTCCGGCCTGCGTCTGCGGAGAAAAAGACCACACCGTGTTATACACAATCGGAAAAGGGGAGCCCCGTGCGCAGGATGCGGGGGTGGCGGGAGGAGAAGGCATGGCGCCTCTCAGAGGCGCCCCTTACCTCCCGAGAGGCCCTCGCAGAAGATGCCAGTGCCCTCTGAGTAGCGACCGACTGGGCCTCGGGTCGGCACGATCGAAATTAGTACGGAAAGAATGGGTACAAAGACCGACAGCAGTTCCTGTTCATTTTGAACAAGACTCGCTGTCCGCGCCGCCGCGGACGTTGTTCACTGAAGACGTAGAGCCGCCTGCCCAACAGCGGCGGCTGTCGGTTTTGGACAACATGTGTTGCTGTAGTTGTGCCCATGCTTTCCGTACCCATTTAGGTCGTCCAAATTTGGACAGCGATTTTTGGAGTTGGTCGCCTCTTCTGCTCCCGCGCCTTCACATATCCGACGGTATGATCTTTGTCCAACCGGCGTGTCTTCCTCGTGTTCGGCAATCGTGGGGGCTTTTCGGGCCTTGGGATGCGAAACGAACACGGATCCGCAACACAACCTGCCCGTGGGGAAGTGGTCGGGACCTTCGGGGACGCGGATTGACACAACCGTGCCGGTGGATGTCAGGCTCCCAGGTTGCACCGACCCCTTGGGAAGGTCCCTCGGAGGTCCCAGCACGGGTCGCAGTCCTTGCTCACCAGCCTTTTTCGTCCTGGGGCGTCTTCCCGCTGGTGCTCGTTTTTTTTATTCATTGTTTTGCCGAGAGGCGCGGGCCCTCGCACCCCCCCTCCCCCCATGCATGGAGTGGATATTGGCTGTTTTGGCGCACATGCTTCGAGCAGGTGGAGTCTCCCCCACAGGACGCACTGCTGCAGACAGTCGCACTAAGCAGAGGTCCGGAGCCAAAACCCCCCCTCCCCCCCCTTTTCCGCCCAATGTCGAAACGCCGAATGAAAAAACGCTCGCCGGTCTTTTCTCACCAGCCTCCCTCGTCCTGGGGTGTCTTCCCGCCCCTCCTGCTGCCCCTCCCGCTGCCCACATCTCCGGCTCGGGCCCTGGCACGCCCGCGCTGCACCCGCAGGGCCAGTCCGTCGGAGCGACGGTGCTCGCTCCGCTATGCGCAGCTCCGCTCCTTCTCCGCCCGGTCCTGCACACTTCTTGCGTCGGCGGCTAGGCAGAGTGACTGCGCTGGCGGATTGGGCAAACGTAGGGCATACAACTGCTAATGAAGCCGCGGTGCACGTGAGGAGGAGGGGGAAGGCCCGGCGCGGGCGGGAGGGAGACGGAGGCCGGGCCCGCTCAGAGCGGGGCCAGGCCGCGGCGAGGCAGCGCCGGGGCGTCGCCCCTGACTACACACATACACCCATTGCCGACAGAGACATGCGAACGGGCACCTGGACAGGAGCTGAAAAGCTGCACGCGCTCAAGGATGCCCTGAGGGAGAAAGAGAGAGAGAGAGGGGGGGAGAGAGGGAGAGAGAAACGCGCCCAACCCAACTCCTGTGCTCCTGCGCGGGCGCGGCAAGGAGGGGAAGGGAGGGAGTGCCCAAGCAAATGAACCACCTTGAAGATTATGATCCCCCATGAGTCACCCCCGCAATTCCTCTGTGCACCCCCTTACTCAAGGAGCAGCGGCTGCCGTATCACTCCCCAGCCAGCTTAGCTGTGGGAGCTTCTGGAACGAGCGATCCCTTCGGCTAGGATCCGCACGCTCGGAGAGAGGAGGTGGACTCACCGTACTCCCCCTCCAGTATACACGCACACAGAAGGACCAACACACGCACGCACACGCACCCTCATACTCGAAACCCTCCTCCGCTTCCCCTCCTCCCCCAGGCTTTCTTGTGGTATGTACGGAATTCGTACCTCAACATATCTGGTGCTGTCTACCTGCTGCTTACTGTCGTCACACTGATAAGAGCATATGCTACACACCTGAGATGGCAGGGGCAGAAAACAATGGGGAATCACCTATGGGAGGGAAAGTGGGGGCGGGAGAACGTGCCGTGAGCTGGTTACCGCTCGGCTCTGCTGCGTGCCATGTCAGGCCAACTCGCCATGGGCCCTGAAATGTGGAAGCTGTTGAGTGCAAGTCCTCACCCTTCCCTCCATGCCCTCCCAAGCCTTTCAGCCATCGCTGCTAAATGGCAGCTGCAGCAGGACTGGGACTGCTGCGGGGGAGGAGGGAGGGAGACAGCAAAATGATGCTGCATTATTGCTGGGATTGCTGAAATTCAGCGCTCACGAACTCTGAGACACAGCTCGAATGGGCCCAACTTTGGCAACCTCTACAGAAATGTGCTGGCATCAGCTTTTTGCACTCCAAACATGTACTGTCCACACTTGGCTGTCGACGGAGAAGTCACGGCACAAAGGAATTCAGTTCCATCCATGTTGAGACAACGAGCGCATTTCAAGCTGTCGACGGAGAAGTCACGGCACAAAGGAATTCAGTTCCATCCATGTTGAGACAACGAGCGCATTTCAAGGACCCCTCTGCCTGAAGCTCTGGCTGATGCTCAGCTTGTACTCCCTGGGGCTTCTCGCTTGCCTCGGTGTCCAAGTGCTCCAGGTTAGAGCGCACTGCCACTGTCAGACAACCGTCGTCTATGGCAAAATCCGCTTTGATGTGCTGCTGGTTCCAATTGGTCGGGATCGCGGTCACCAGGCTCTGCGTTAGCGGCGTGACGTCGAGCAGACATGTCTCCTTCCTTTGCTCACCATTGACCCGCTGCTGCTCCTCCTGCACGGTGTTGTCTACAGTGGAGCTGTTGATCACATTGCCTCCTTGCGCGCCTGGCTTGGTCTGGCCGTCTTCCAGAAATCTCGCCTCACTCTGCTTCTGTGGCAAGGTCTTCCAACCAGCGGGCTGTGGCTCCTGGCAGCTTCCACTTTCACCTTCAGGGCCGAAAGTGGCGTGGGGCTCGTCCACCTCTGCTGCGCCTGAGCCGATGTGGAACAATTTAACGTGCTGGGACTCCACCTCCAGGCTTCCACAGACAGGATACCAGAAGCTAAGAGGCGGCGCTGCCATTTGCATGGTGTGGTCCAGCTTATTCTCCGTGGTCTGCATGGTGCTCTTTATCTCGACCTCGGTCTGAGCGGTTTCCTCGGCCATGCCGCGCCAGGGCGGCAGCGGGGACTGGGTGATCACACCCGCTCGGATTTCGAGGAAGAGGGTCTTGTTGTTTGGCAGCTTCTCCTGCAACTGCTATACAGCACAGCCCGTCGTCTGGCCCTCGCCCCAGACGGGCTCGTCAAGGCTCTCGTCCGTGCTGCTCGTGTGGGTGGCTAGGGGAACGAAAGGTGTCATAAATATAAAAACTCGGAGGTCCGCGCGGATTTTTTGGATCCGCGCTGGAGTCGCGGACCTCTGAATTTTTATGTCTATGTCATTGTTCGTTCCCCTAGTGGCGCCACTCTCCTGGATCATGGTGTCCGACTTGTGCGGCTTGGCGAGAGTATTCGAAGTCTCGTCAAACACATTCGGATCTTTGTGGGCCTCCATCCTGCGGCCATCGCGGGCCCTGCACCAGCGCTTGGCCAGCTCGCCTTGGCCCCGCGCTATTAAGCCCCGCCTGACCTCCTCAGTGGTGGCCTTCCTCTCCAGGCCCAGCGCCCCACCTGCTTTCCTGAGGGCGCCCTCGAAATGACCAAGGATCGACCCTTCAGAGCTCGTGCTCTCCCGCTGCTCCAGCTCCCTGATGAATTCCGCAGCCTCTTGGTGGCTGGAATGATGAACGAGAAGATGACCATGGCGAATCGCGATGTTCGGCGCCTTCCGATTGCGAGGCATCGCTGCTCGAGGTGTGAAATCCAATACCGAGCAAAGAGAGCCCTCAATCCCCAGGAGGGAGGGGGGCACGGCCGTGGAAGGACTGTGCACGCAGAATCCTCGAGCGCAAATGGCCACGGATCGCCCGCTCCTCTCGCCACCGCCGCTGCTGCTCCTCTCGGCCCGCTCCTCGCTCCTCCGCTCTCTGCTCCGGCTCCCCCGTTCGCGGGCCCCGGCCTGCTCGGGGGCGGCCAAGAGGGGTGTGATAGACGTAGTTGGGGGGGGCGATATCATGACGGGGCCCATGATATTCATCGTATTCTGCGCCTCCTTGTTCTTTCATCACGTCCCTGTCCCCCCCCCTCCCTGGCCGCGCACATGCGCCCGTCCATGACTTGTGCCCCCCCCCCCCCCCCTCTTGGATGGACACCCCCCTCTTAGCCGCCCCCGATGCTGCCGCCCGAGGTCTGGCAGCTGCGCCAGGAGAAGAGCGTGCTGAACGAGCGGGCCCACGGCGCCTCGCTCTCGGTCGATCCGGCGCTGCGGGTGCTGGTGCGGCCAGAGGGCCTCGGGAACATCCAGGACGTGGTTTTTCCGGCGGGAGAGCACGTAACGCCCCCTCCCCCTTCCCCTCCCCCTCCCCCTCCTCCTCGGCCTC